TATTTAATATAAAAGATATGAGCATGGAGGCTGACCTAGTGAATAGTATGCTCTGATTTTTTTGCCTCAGCTGTCTCATATAGGACTAAAAATGGGTTTCTTTACAGAACTGTGTTAAACAGTGCCAATATACATGAAACATATTGGATAAACTTAAAAAGCAGGATGTAGAAATGTGTACATACAAATTATCTCAATTTAAAAAGTATTCAGATACTTCAGATTACTGGGATGGAAACCACCAGTAAATTCCTGGGCCATAGGCTAGTGTGTGAGGTTTTTTTTTTTTAAAAAAAAAAAATCCATAACAAGGCACTGCAAATTACTTCTGTATTGTTGCCAAGAAAATAACATCAGGAGTCAAACTCAAAGGAGGTATTTTCTTTTCTCTCTTAACTTTCTATCATATAACAATGAAGTCTAGAAATATATTTTCAATCTTCTACTGTTAAATATTCTGGGAATTAATTGTAAGAAGACCATGTAAATCCCAACTCCATGCATACTGAATAAACTATAGCACTCCAGTTTGTTGTTTCAGTTAGAGCTAGGTGATTTAGGTATCTGACTGTGCTGACATCCTTTGTAATATCCTTTTCGTTAGCCACATAGGTTGTTTAATTACTTCACACTTCAGGGTATGTTGCTGACTTGTTTGATGACATTTTTGTTTGTTTTTTATTTCAGATTAGGGTTGCACTTAAAGATTGGGCTGAAGTCAGCAAATTCAAGCAGGAACTTTTAGACGCCCAGCACTATGATGCAGCATATATCTTCAGGAAACTTCTGATGGACAAAGCATTCTATTTCACAGCAATGCCCAAATTTGTGAGTTATTAAAACCATATTAACAGAAGTACTCATTGTACCATCTCTATTTTCTGGCTGAATGGATGGTTTCTTATCATTTTGCTAACAAAACTTGTGATTGTTTCTGTCTGGTATTTGCTTCCTATTCTCTGTCCTGCAATATCTAAGCATCACAAGACAATGGGAGAAATTGATTTTCTCGCACAGATCCAGTTTTCTTTCTCATACAAATGCTTCTTCAATTAATAACTTATTTTTCGCTCCTTAAGACACAGTCCCTACCCCCAAAAAGTGGGTAGAAATGTCTGTGTGTCTTACAGAGAAAATTTTGTGTCTCAGGCTGGCCCGTCAGGGTCCTTTTACAATGCTGAATCCTGCCTCTTCTGTCTTTGTCATTGCCCACCTCTTCTGTCTCTTTTCCACAGTGTAGGAGTCAGTAGGCAGAGCTGGCACATAACAAGACACCTATCTGTGGTCCTTCTTAGACTCCGCCTGATTTTTTTTCTTGTTTTCCTCCTCTAAACCTAGGTGCATCTTGCAGTGAGGTGCATCTTATGGAGTGAAAAATATGGTACATTAGAAAGATTGAGCTGACAACTTGGTTTAGAATGCTTGTTGTCTCTACAATGATTGGCTTTTCCCATAATCCTCAACTATTTGCTGCAAAATGTGACCTAATTGGACCTGGTGGGATCTGCAGTAATTCTGATTTGCTATGGTTCTTTGGATTATGTGTAACAGAGTATGGATGTTGTTTTGAAAAATGTGGCTCCACTTGGTGCCTCCCTCATTAAGAAGTTCTTTGGTTGATACTGGAATTTGTTCAGAGTTACTGCTATTGTGGCATTAACAAGGCCTGACATTTCATGCGTGTTGGGTGATTCAGATACATGCTTTTCCTATTGTTTTGATTCTGATATGACCGTCTCTTTCTTAGCTTTCATTTAGGACTAAAAAGAACATGCATGCAAATACTGAGATGAAGAGGGAATTCAGAGATCCTACTGATCGTGTTGCCATGCTTTGCCATGAAAATTTCTTGGAGGTATACTTAACATCTTTTGCAACATGGTTATTTTTGGCTTATGTCCTATACACTGTAACAATGATATCCATAAACAATTTTACAGAGAAATAGATATAACACTAAAAAACCCCTTATAATCCAAATATCTTTCTGTGAATGTAATCCATACTTTGTATGGATTATATTTGGTGCTTGAACCTCAAGTTGTTTGCTATAATCCAGGCCAGGCCATTTTCACATAGTACCCGGAAAAGAAGTACAACTGAATTTTGAGAGATCTCCAACTCCATCTGATCTCCCCCAGGAATTCCTTTGAAAAGTTAAAGAACGTAGAAACAAAGGAGCTCTCTGATAAGTTTTATATAAAAAGATATTATGATCTCTTTTAATTTCTAAAGGCATATTCATAACTTGCACCTTCTAGTTAGCAAGTTTTTTTTCTCTAACAATTCTATGATCCGACACAGATCCAAATCTTTTAACTTAGTTTTACCAGCATATATTCCTAATATGAATGCAGAACTGATCATGTTTTCTTTTTGGATGAAACATTAAGAGCAGGATGTACAGAAAAATATGACAACAATCTCAATTTTTATTGATGGGGATATTAACAAATTTTGTTTTTTATCTGCTTCTCTTATAAGGAAACAAAAAATATTCATGAGCACTATAAAAAAATGAAATGTCTGATCTCTATGGATCAAAGTCAGCCAGATAAGGCTATCAGTTTGATTAAAGATGATTTCGCAGCCAAGTTCCAAGATATCATTCTGGATTATCAACAGTGGCAGAAAAAGAAAATGGTATATAATTTCATTTTTCTTTAGAAATTGGTGTATAAGTCCTATAAACTAATGGATTCACTACATAGTATCAGAAAAATAATAATGTAAGAACAAAATTCCAGCATCAATCTGATCACTTTATATAAGCTATTTTTATAACCTTTTTATAAACTATTAAGCTTCAATAGCCCTGTGGAAAAAAATCTGTCTTTGAGATCTTTCTGAAGGATTTTGAGATGGAGGCAACTCAAAACTGCTAATATTTAAAGACATGTTGCAAAGAGGTGTTGACAGAGGCAGACATAATCTTGCTTCTTGAGGCACGAAATTCCTGATGAATGATGTTGGAACTAGTTTACCATTTAAATGGAGTAGCAGTTCACCAGCTTTCTATGCACATGCATGGGTCCTCTTGTGATATTTCTGGGAGAAGAAAGTCACCTTTCATCTGTATAATGATTTAACTGTATAAATCCAATGTGTATGTAATGTATTCTGGGATCTAAATAATATCTATTTTTCAGGAATCCCCTTTATCTACTGTAGATGATGAAAAAAGGAACAGAAAAGAAGGTTGTTCCCAAGAGTCTGATGTAAGGAAATCATCATCATCATGGTGGAATATTTAATTTATTTATAGGAATTCCTAATAGGATATAATTTACTATAAAAGTCCCTTGTAGTCATTTCTAATTCAGCTCTGTAGTACAGAACCAAGAAGAGGCCAGGGGGTGGGGGGTGGGGATGGATTATCCCTGGATAGCTATCCTCATTGTCCTCAAAGCTGAGTAGGTATTTGAAACAGTAATTTATTTACAAAGAAAAATAATACATTTCTAGCATATTTCAAGTTTTTGTGTGTATGATATGGAAAATTGTTAAAATATTAGAAGCCAAGAAGTAAAAAAAGGTAGTTCAAACTGTATTGGCAATCTTCTCTTTTCAGGCATCTGGCAGAGCTCAAACATTAGCTGAAATCAAATCCAGATCATATTCTGCAGTTGCTCAGGTAAGTATGTAAAGGCTGGAGTTTTTTCTGTGCCTTTGACTCCCAGAGACTCCCTAGACCAGTAATGGCGGAGTGACTCCCTAGACCAAAAACTTCCAGAGACTCCCTAGATCAGTGGTTCTCAACCTTCCCAATGCCGCGACCCTTTAATACAGTTCCTCATGTTGTGGTGATCCCCAACCATAAAATTGGTGTCTCGGTTCCCAAGACTATCAAAAATATGTGTTTTCCGATGGTCTTAGGCGACCCCTGTGAAAGGGTCGTTCGACCCCCAAAGGGGTCCCAACCCACAGATTGAGAACCACTGCCCTAGACCAAAAATGGAGCTTTTGTGCGCATGCATGTGTGTCTGGGCCACAATCGGGAAGAAAAGTTGCCCAGGGAGCATGCTTGCCCTGAAAAACTTAATTCCGGTTTCCGGCAAGTCTTCTGGTAATTGCCATGCATGGGCACGTGCCGATCAGCTGCCGGCTGCATGCTCACACCGGAAAATGGATGACCAGCTCTTCCGGTTTCCGGCACTGCCGCACGCAAAAAGGCCAGTGATATGCGCATGCATGCCAGAAACCCGGAAGAGGAACGGCTGATGCCACATGTGCCAGGCAAAATGGCTCTGTGTGCCATAGTGGGCACACGTGCTACAGGTTCTCCATCACAGCCCTAGACGAATCCCTGTAGTTTTCTTCACAAGGTTTTTAGAAGCGGTTTGCCATTGTTTTCTTCCTATAGCTAAGAGAAAATGACTGGCCTAAGGTTGTCTTTTGTGCCCAAGACAGAACTAGACTGCATGGTGTCCCACTTTCTAGCTTTATGCTTTTAACCACTACAACACACTGACTCTCTTGAAGGCCATAATTACCTGAACGTAAGTGCTGAACTGTGTTTCAGTGTGCTTGTAAGAAAAGCCATTTGAAACAGACAAATTAAATTAGTGCTAAACAAGATGTCCTGCTGGTAAGTAGAAATCTGCTTAGGTAACATTGAATGTAACCCTTAACACGCTTTCTTGGTATGTAAAAATAAAGTTGGCAAATTGCAATTGTTTTAACAGCTTAATCCTGACTTAATGATTGCCATGACTTACAACTGTAAAATTATAGTTGTATGTTGAGGGCTGTCTGTAGCCATGGAGAGAAGAGGCAGCAGACCACTTCATTCCATTGATTTTATTGAAGAAATTTATATAGCTGCCCAATTCACTATCAGTAACTCCAGGTGGTTTACAAAGATGAAAATCCAACATAAAAATAGCAAAAATCTATCCCCCCCACCCCCAACAACAGTCAGTCAGATAAGCCATTTGGTGGGTTCCATCCCACTCTGGGGTCTAAACCCATTGGCAAAGTCTTTAGGGCCTTGTCAGAGTGGGAACCAATCCTATTTCCATGGGATGATGGGCTGGAGGGAGCCAACATGGAGAAGGCACTTCTTCTTGGTCCTGTTACATGAACCTCCTTAGGAAAGGCGAGCCATAGAATCCCCTGCCTGTCCGCTCTAGTGGGTTGGGTAGAAGTTTCCTTTTTGAAATTGCATATCCCCCACCCCCATCTACCCTGGAAGCAGTACCGTAACAATATTCAAGCTTGTATCCCCAATTGCAGATAGTAGAGCCTAATAGTTAATAGAATGTATCTTTTCTCCATTAGTGCACTTTTAAACCTACCTATACCATTTGACTTAGGTTTGGATTTAATTTATGTTGTAAAGATGCTCTTGATGAACATGGCAATATGATCAGTTTACAAACACAGTGGCAGAATTAAATACCTTATGATAAATTCATTGGAACATCATCTTTGTTTTTCACAGCAATATTATTGTGTATTCATTGCTTGGATATTTTTCTTGTTGCACTTTCCCTGGCTGAAAATCTATTTAGGCTTCAAAGTCTAGGCGACATCGCCAAGTTAGGCTGGAATCTTCTGGACTGGGATCAAATTGTGGGAAAACCAGATTGCCTAGGAAAAGAAGTGTCAGGAAATGTTTACCAACAGCAAAGAAGTCAGAACATCAGGAAAAGAGAGGTAATTAGCATAGTAGGATTAATCTGGGGAAATTGCTGTTTCTACAATGCCCCTGGTGTACAGGCCCCCTAATCAGTGTGCATTCTGTGCATTGTGAATGATGTACCATAACACAAGAGATGTAAATGTTTGATAATAAAGGTGGGTGATAAATCAATAAAAATAGCCTTGTATTGTACTTGCCACTTTTAAATGTATTACTCATGAATGTCCTTCCTTGTTTTATAAAATAATTTGCCTGTAGTTTTGTTTGTGTGTGTGTGTGTGTGTGTGTTTGTGTGTTATTTCATAACAGTCTCATAACTGATGAAAAGGTCTGGTGAAAGAGAATTAGTTCATCTGTAAATCGTTGAACAGTCTCCTCTCTAGTGGGAAGGATTTTGCAATTATGATATGGGAAGATTTTAATCCAATTTAAGCTCGGGACAATACATATCATTTATGTATTT